AATTTCATGCCAAATAGAGTCAATTTGGCGGGAAATCAACAGGCGAAGTATTTCCTCAAAATATCCTCCGCATATTGGGTTTTCCGGAGTATATCGTCACAATATCATCTGCATATTGGTTTTCTGGAGTTTATCGTGGCGATATATATCCTCCGGTTATTCATTTTGCCAATAGATATCACAATTTATTTTTTAATGTTATTATACATTTATCACACTAAGTGTATGACAATACATTTCTATGTACACGTACCTATATTTACCTAAGATAACACCCCGTATACATATGTACCTGAGATTCCATTCAGTTAGTTTCGTGTTTCAGAGGTAAATGCTTTTCCTTTGATTTTCAGAAGGGTAATAAGAAAAGAGACCGTAGCTCAGTATTGGCTTATAACAAGGGAAGGGGTTGTACAGCGCAATATGTCGACAACTGCTCACGTATCATATTCCCTGTCTTCTTTGTCATCTTCAACTGCGCCTACTGGGCCGTGTATACTGCAGAATTCCAGACTATGATCGTAGATGCATTCAACAAGATCAAGGGAGAGGAGTAACTTATACTAGCCCAGGGGGCGCTCTGGGTTATGATATCAAACACCCGGATGTGATAGAGCTCAAGAGTCTCCCCGGGATTGTGCAATTGATAAACCTTAATGTTATACCATCTTTACGCCCCGGGGAGCCAAGCCTCTAAAAATGATTGAGTACAGTTAAGACAATTTAGCAACTTTTCCCAGCATAATATACTGTATCGATGAAATATGCCCATCTAAAACTGAACGAAGTAACTAAACATCTCAATTCATCCAGACGGATGGAACAATTCATTTGAATTTTTATGTCACCAACACAAGCGTTGGCATATTGTTATGGTCTCCAACTTTTTGTGGATGGCATTGGGCGTCTGTAACAGCGATTGGCGTAGAAAAAGATATTTTGCATATTAGTTGTTATTATCTTGTTTTTCGGTGTTACGCTATATTGAACAATGCTAGGATGGAGGAATTCAATGATGCATAACTGAAGGCTGTGGAACTTAAGATATTTTTCTACCTTATTTCATTAGGACTATGTTTTAAATACAGCTACCGAGTCATGTATAGCCATGGGTGCAGTAGCGACGTTGTTGTAAATATTTATGATATGGTTTTAACATGTTTTTTGTGATAAAGATGTCGTTTCTGTACTCTGTACATTTTCTGAAATGTGATTATACAATTTGTACATAATGATAAGGTAACCATTGTATATCGCTTTTATTCCATTTTTATGTCATAACGAAGAGATACTAGTGACATGTTGTTAAAGCGTTTATATTATATTGTATGCCGGAGTTCGACGTCAGCGATTAGCGTCTTCAACAAATTGTTACACTTTACAACACGATTAGCATGTTGTGACAGTTTGTAACGAAATTGGAACATTTTGTCACGTAAATTGCTGAGTTTGTATAGTTCACTGCGATAAGTCTTAATAAAAATACATACTAAAGTCACTTTGAAATTTTTATTTTTGAAAACTATTTTTTCTAGGTGTTAAAATGAATATCTTCTGTTAAATCAAACCATAAACCACAAACTTAAGCTTTTCAACCTAGCGAATACCTTCAAATGTTATTATATCCAGTCAACCAAACCTACTTTAATAGGGCCTGTGTTTAACTTTAGTCGCTTCCAAGCGTTATCACAATGCATCCAGAAACTTTGGCGCACTAGCCGAAAATTCAGTTTTGGGAAAGGACGGTTAGCTTTTATAACAACTTGGCCCAATAACATTAGAATTCATTTGCTTTTGTTACACAACATGCTTACTGTAAGTCGATGGTAACATTTTGGCAAGAATTTATCAGCGAAATCGGTGAGGTCATTTCCACTTAACAAATGCGAGTTCTAGGGCTAGGGTTCTTTCAAGTTAGATTTCATGGGACAATCGCGTAGTAATGAATCCCTTTTCTGAAATAATAAATACATACATATGGGGCAAATAAATTTATACTAATCTCAGCAGACGCTGGAATTTAGGGAACGATAATGAAATAATCTGGATGCGTAGCGTAGCAGAGTGGTTTTACTTTAAAGTTATGAACCTAAAGAATCGAAATTATATTTGTCGGCTTTTTGATAGAGGGGGCCCTATTTCTCTCAATCTACCGTCTGGTGGCCAATTATTGAACTAACTCAGTGCCTAACCTGGATCAAATTAATGGTTATTTGTCAGGAAAAATCATTGTAATAACAACCATATGACATGTATATAGAGTCAGTAGAGTCATTACATGATATCATTTAAAAACATAATCCATTAAAATCTGCAGCAGGAGTAAGTGTGGTTGTATTAAAGCCCATGATTCTAAGCATAACAAACTGTAATTTGTTAATGTCTTTTTTTCGACAAATTTAACAAAAACATATTATATTCGCCTCGGGATAATCCCAATATCCCGAACCTCATATAAGATAATCTTTTTTTATAGGTATACCCAGAAGAGGATATATAATCATATATAATCATGCGAAATTGTAATTTGTACACTAAGCCATTATACGTACATCTGCTATTTATGAACACAAGGCACAAGGACCATCTTGCATAAATGTTAATACTATATGGTGGGAATAAACGTGTGACTTGAAACTAGATAATTGTTATGAGTTGTATGTTCACATTTTATTTCAAAAATTGAGTGGCCATATTCATATCCAAATTAATTCAATAGACAGTCAATGTTTAAATAATATGAACGACAAGCTACGCCTCATTTTGGCTTTACATAGTGTGAGCGTCTGTGGGGGTCTTGGGTAATACGAACACGTTTTAAGAGATATTGCGATGACGTGTAACATTATGACCCCTATGGATTACTGCCCCACCCTCTCATTTGATTTTACAAGGGACCTTGTTAAAAACTATTTTCCTAATACCTTTATACCCAATGGCAAGTGAATACTACCGGAGGGGAGAATTTATCACAGTTAAACCATAATTTTACACGTCCGTGTACAAGTTCGTTTAGCTAAGTTCATTCATAAACCAGATTCTCATATTATATGCTGTGTTTGCCGTCATACATATTATTATATCGAACAGAACCCCCCCCCCCCTCCAAAAAACATATTGTCTGACTTTGCTTCTTAAGAGAGCGCGTCAACGTCTTTATAACTTTAAACTAGCCCATCTGTGCTCAAACTGATTAATATACTTGTATTACAACCCCAAAAGTATAATAAATGTACAATGCTATTTGCATTTTGATTCAAACTAAATATTACATTACCACACCGGAATAGCCTGACAACGGTAAAGTCAGATATCGTTGTTACAAATGGCGGACATAACCGTCGCTTCCGCTCTTTAATCACTTGGTCCTCATTTCATGGGATTTTATCGTTGCTAATTCTGTGCATGTATTAAGCTCTTGTGATGATGTATCATATGAAATCCCAATTTCGATCGAATTTCGATATCGTCAATGACAACGGAATCTAAATTTGAAATAATTTACAAAGACAACGGCATTTGGTAATACAGTGTTCGTTGTCCCGTATCTTATTTTGATCGGTTTCTTTATTTCGATGGTAGAGCATTATTAACTGTACAATGAGTATAACGACACTTTATTGATTGTTGTTCCAAAAGGAATTTAGTCTAGGTGCTCTATTAAACATGCAGTTCATGAAAATCTAAATGAAGCGGAGGTTATGTCCGCCATTTGTGACAACGGTATCTGACTTTACCGTTGTCAGGCTATACCGGTATGATTACATCATGCCTCGCATTTTTTGGAGATGCGACAAGTGATATCAAAGCATGCTGTGTTTTTTATTGCAAAATTGTTTTTGTGGCTTCTACTCCATGTGTGGACTTCCGGATTCTAAATTATTTTTATACAATACCAGTGTAGAAATTGCAATGTTATTTTGGGACTAGTGAATCGTAATGTGTCATTTCCGATTACATAAATTCAATTTTTGAAATGTTTAAAATAAATTATTGTCAAGGTAACACATGATGTGAAACAAAATCTGGATTATTTTCAAATATAGATAGTGTATCTATCTAGCTTGCATAAAGGTTGAATACTTCATTTAATTTATTTTAATTCAAATGCACTTTGACAGATCAATGGGATCATAAATTTTAATATTGACTCGGCCATACCTTCTGCATACAGACATAGGACCATAAAACAAATACTCAAAACATCTTAGCATTTTTGTGAATACTTTATGATGACATATTATTTTACAAACAAAGGGATATGGATGTTTAGATAGCTGCAAGATGAGGTTTTGGCTACTCCCTGAATGTAGTTTTACCGTCAAAAAGGGGTGTCACAACAACAACAATTATCGTCATTGATTAGGTCTACCCCATTTAGATGTGCTCATAGACAGATATCACACAAGACAGTGTATTTGTTTAAAATCTGATTTTATTAAACTCAAAACAACACTTAAACATTAAATAAATATTCTTACAAAGAAAAATTGGACATGGTATGAACGTTTGTCACACTGCACCTAGGTGTGGCGATTATAAAATCAAATATTGACGTCATGTCAATTCATACACATTCTTTTAAAAAATTCAGGTGTACTATAAAATGATTTCACACTTTTCTAATTTCCCCTATTATGAAAGCTTAACATGCAAAATGAAAATAATTCTTTCTAGCATATCAGCTGGAGTCAAAGCCCTCGCTGATTTTTTTAGTTCGTTGCATGTCAACGCTCTTTTATTATAAAGTAAGCCTGGACATCTGACGTATATCGTTTTGTGTATTTTCAATCGGCCTGACGTCAGTTTTTTTACAAATTTTTCAATTAAACACATTTCCGCTTGTACTTTAAATTTCTTTATTAAATAGTTGAATGACCTGTAAACTGTTAAAACCCCACTGGCACGGGGATTTGAATACACTAAGGTAACCTACCTATCCAATGTCTGGGTCACATTTGCTCGGATTCATCGGCCGTCGCCCGGCCGATTGAGTATCCTGTTCACAATTGTATTCAGTTCTGAACAGAATATTCAATCGGCTGAGCGCCGACCGATGAATCGGAGCAATTGTGGCCAAGGCATTACATAAGATGCCAGTGACCAAAATGATACAATTATACGGTTTGATAGAGCAGAATTCCCCACCCGTTTACGTAATCATCTAAACCATGTGAATTGTGGATTACCCTTATTATCGCAATCCCAATCATCAGCACTGGCATCATATTCATTATTTCCCCGAAACTTAAGATTTACAATATTTGAAATTGACCACTGTGAAAAATAATTGCACTGAAACACCCGATCACTAAAATTGTTGATTTGCTGAATACATGCAGAATGCATGTTACCAATCACTTTAGCTAAATGTATGTTTTGTTACAATAACACGTTCTTCAGTTATAAATGCCTGTATGTCCATTTACTTCACTTGTTGAATGGCAGTTTTTTTATACAATCGAACGTTCAAGCATAAAACGTTCGTAATGCTACGTAATACGACTAGAGGAATTGGAACAGTTCAGATCCCTGGTTTGAGCGAAAGATTTCTAGTCATTCTCAACTGTAATACGGAAGACCGTGTGCTGGAACTTTCTCGTGTTTGTGTTTGTGCCACAGTTTCCACATGACAGAATTCTCACTGTAGGGGTATGGGTAAAATGTCACCATTCCGCCACTTAGGTACGACCCCCATGCACCAAAGCTCCCAACGGACATAATTGAGTGATCACAACGAGCCAATATGGCCAAGTCCATGCTGTCCGATTCACCGGGGCAGAAATGTGTACTAGGAAAGTTTAGATGCTCTCGGGCCCATTTTGGATCGTCTGAACATATGATATAGCGAATGTTTGTTGGACTAAGAATTCGATCATAATGTTGCATAGTTTTGAGGAAATAGTCAACACTTGGGACACGATAACCTTTCCTGTTATTTTCTAGCGATAATAGGTCTCCGCGTCTGACGTGTACCCCGACGTTAATAGTTTTTTCGTTCTTTATTGCACTTGGTAGTGTTTTAAAAAAGTTATCAACCTTTGATTTTATGTCACTGTTGAATGTATACTGGTTTTTAATTTCATCTTTAATGTTTGTAATGTAACTGAAGCTCCCCAAACCGTTGTAAAGCACGAAGCTAGCCGCCTTTACGTTGAATAAGTCTTTTTTGAAAGGTCCTCTACCTGATCGCACGGGGAGGTTAATGTCTTTAGGCAGAGATCTAAGATCGAATATTTCTGCTTTAATGTTGCTGAAGATCTCGAGAAGACGGGAGTTTGAAGGTATGTACAGCGTCCTGTTCGTTTTCTTAGCAATCGCCCACGCAGAAGAGTACTGGAACATTTCGTCACCAAGGCGACCGTTCCCAGGAAAAAGTAATATTTTTCTTGGATTGTTCGAAATGTCTTCCCAGCTCTTGATCCTCGGTATATATTGAGTCGGAGTGTTTGCGATTGTTTTTACACTCTCTGTCATCATTTCTTTAAAGTCCACGGTGTCGGCTTCGTCATTCGCCTCAACAATCGGTTCTGAATTTTTACGTTCACCTTGCATATGATAAGTCTCCAGGGAAGAGATGGCACTTGGTCGAGCGTCTGGTTCGTCGAAACGACTTTTATAAACCATTGTATCGTACCCAAACGATCTGGCGTTTGATTTCCGACTGATCGCCATCCACAATTTAGAGTCGCCTAGCGGATCTTTGGTGTTGTTGGTCAACGATTGTAGTCCCCTGCTTCTCCATCTTGTCTCATATGAAGCTATCTTTAGTTTCGTATCTCTCTCCAAGTATTGGTCAAATGCAAAGATGAAAATGACCAGCACTCCCATCACCATTAATAACGACCGCTGAGTGTCCTGTAACGTTACTCTCATATTGCTTGTTTCTCTGCTTAAAATTGATAAAATCGAAGTTCTGTTATTTCAATGTCTCAACAGAGAACTAACGATTGCTATATGTTTCAAGTTTATATACTGCAGTGCAATCCGATCATTAGCCATTGACAAACTCTAACTCCCTTTGCTTATTTGCATTTTAATCGATCTCATTCATATCAAGATGTTCGATCGTCATAACTTAGTTTTGAATACCGAAGGAGTTCACTTAAAAAACTATTGATTTCAAAAGAAAATACAAATGCACTCGATCGCTTTTTCAACGATGACGTTATTTCCCAGTCTCCCTATCACGCACAGTTATGAAACTTTTACACCTGGATTCTGTTGGTCAGATGTTTGAAGTTATCATCCTTGTCTACTGTATCGCTTGTTTCGCCTCTTTTTCGCCAATGTCACTTATATTGTGGTACTACTATTTCAATGCCAAAACAGACCAAGTACCGAGCTCGAGAGAATGACAAACTACTGCGATGCTATTGAAACGTTAATTGTGTAAGTCGTTGTATATCCAAACGGCAAGTATGTTAAGGTCACAGTGTTATTTTAATGTAAGCTCTTAGTGTGAATTTATCACCACAGCATATGGTTCAACTGTTAAAGTCAAACAGCATAAATCCTACACTTGACACACAGCCCTTTGTCACCGGTTATCTGCAGAAACAAATAAATTCATAAATAATCACCGAAATATTTACAAATTGGAACTCATTAATGAGTTGAATAAATAAACAATCATCCTAAGAACACAAGACTCTCGACATCATCCACGTGATTCCTTCCCTTCTTTGATAATCCGGATGATTTCAGATCGGCCCTGCGTTTCAGATGACGGTGGCAATCTATATTAAGCTATATCACTGGTCAGTATCAAGCGAAGGTAACGGCCGTCACCTTCGCATCAAATACACATAACCTTACTTACCACGTAGAGTGCCACAACATAACTAACAGAGATAGTGATAAAAGTCTTAGTAAACTTATATGTAAACACTGTACAATGACAGCTTCGTTTTTATGTTTCCCGAGTGATTAATAGACCATTCACAAGTAAAGGTTTCGTCTCCTGTAAGTTCTATGTAAAATACATGCAGCCGTGATATAAGTCAATTTAGAACATTGTGATAACTCGAGTGAATAAAAAGTTTATACGAGGGATATAGTGGATGATGTTCTGCGTGCAATATTGCCGTTCAATATGACCTTGCGGGAGTCCGTGTAGCAAGGTCCACTTAAATACACTCCCTTTCATAAATATATATAAGCGCAAATGCCAAAGGGAAGGGTGACTAAAAACTCGACCAAAGAAACCCAACAAGAAAAGCAAACTGTAAGTGTAAACTTGCCATAAGAAAAGTAGATCTTTGAAACCATGATCTAACGTGAAAAGAAACAATGTCTAACACCCCCCCCCCTCCCATCGAGAACCAACATCACAATCCGGATGTCTTCATTGAATAGCATTATGCACAAACATTATGATGTTTGAATCTAATTTTACTCCTAAATTATCACAATGTTTTGGAAAATGACAAATATGATAAGGGAGGGCAAACTTATGGAGGGGTTGGGATTATGGAACTTCAACTTTAGGCGTTTACATGAGGCCACGTGTGATAAATCGGGTAAGGTCCTTTGGAGCCTTTGGAGCACGTTGACAGTATTGAGACCCTCTATTGGTTTTCTTTGGGCAGAAAGCAATGCCGTTGTTTGATATGACCCTGAGGGACTGTAAAATGAAACCCCATATGGTGACATGGGTACTGGCGTTCTTTTGACTCAATGCGGCATGTTGGCGCTATCTGAAATCTTTCCAATCACGACAAATTGGAACACACATTTTAGATTTCATCATTTCTGAGGATGACATTTCATTTATTTTGGTAAACTCACTATTTTGTGTTATTTGATTCTAGGTTCAAAATCAGGTAGCAAAAATCAATAGCAAAAAATGAATATTGCATTTTCCATATAAGGAAATACATTTGCTTCCCGTGCAGAGATGGGCCTGCTCAATGGAACCCGCATTGGTAAGGAAAAATACATGTCTATACAGATGACATTAAGGCTAACCGCGATCTTCAGGGATTCATTCCAAATATCCTGCGTTAAACGTTGGCATGCATCCTATCAAATGTAGCCAGATAAAAAGAAGTTGTCATGGTAAAAATGTTAAAATACTTTAATGTCTTAAAATAGTAACAGTCTGACATTAACATTTATGTTTGACATTTGGTCAGACCAATTTCATAAATAATGTCAAATAACTGATAAGGGACATTTTTATGACATACGTTTAATTTTTTTCTGAACGAACTTTTTATGACACTTGATAAGTACGAGTATGTTTATATCAATTATATTATAGATTAAAGCCCTTCACATATGAACGAATCCACCAAACGGAGTCTTGCGAAGCCAATTCTGGCGATTGGGAACGTAAACATGGGAACTGAAGCGCATTTTTGCAAAGCCTCCGAAGAGGTACTTACACATACGAACACCCCAACGATGTACAACGTATTTTACGAATTCCTATATATTACTCAATTCCTATTCGCAAGATTGCGTTTAGTGGATTCGTTCATATGTAATGGGGGCCTTTACACCCCAGTCACATTTGTCGCACGGAGGCCGTGCGTCGACCGCAGATCAATTAAATCAGTGTATTTCTGCGGCGAGCGTAGAAAAACTACGCTCGCCTTGCGGCCTCCGTACGGCGTATCCAGTTTTTTACAGGCCGCAGGGTCGCCGTAGAAATTATAACTCGGAGTTTTTTTAAATATTTTTTTCAAATCCTATGGTTTTACAAAAATACCAATTATATCTACTCATGGATATCAATATTTTCACTCATTCGCTGCGCTCACACATGAAAATATCAATATCCATTCATGGATATAAATGATGTTTTTATCAAAACCATATAGGATATTCCTATAGTCTTACAGTATGTCGACATTTGTTTATTTGACAATTTTACTTAACATCCTATAAAATGGTGCACAGTTTTGGAAATTATAATTGTATTTTAGAGTATTCTGAGCCCAGTATGAAATATTAGGCGCTTTTTCACATTTTGACCATTGTACGAGCATGGGAAAGTCTTAACCCTCCTCCCTCTATTGAAACTTTGGCGCACGAGTGCCATATCTGACTCAATAATTTCAATTATTATTAAAAATTGACGTACGTCAGAAAAATTCTAAACCTATATTCTTTGATATAATTCATGGTTAATACATAACTTTTAAAACATTTCTTATTTCTCATTGAGAATTTTGACACTTAGCACGCAATTTAATTAAATCTTGAAGTTGATTTACAAGAGTCATTGACTTGCCTGACCTTTTTCAGGTCAATGTTCTTCGAAAATGAATGAATGTCATTATACCCGATTGAGTGTTTGAAATATTTCATGTTGCGTGTTATAAACTTATCTGACGTCAATGTTCCATTTAATTGATTCATAAATTGTTTTTTATCTTAACATTTAATTTTTGGGGGGTTTCAAATAGGGGCAATGAACGGATACGCCATCATCAAACTAAGGGATTAATAAGGACTGTTATTACCTGCTTGAGCACTGGTATTTCTGTCACGCGCACACAAGAAAATCGAAAATGTACAACGGTATATTTTGTCACTGTACGTTGTCCATAGTTAGGCGTGTATACAATACTTGACCGATTTTACGATTGTTACTTAGTTTAAATAATTACATTATGAAATGGCAAGTAACCTAGATATGAAATAAAGAAGGAGTTATTATGACAAATTCACCAGTTTGTAGATTATTACGAAAGTGCAACCATTTGGTACAGATCCCGATTGTCTCTCACTGATTACTGGCTCGTCTTACAGCATGTCCCTATTCCTTTTGTATTGTTAACTAGTAATTGCTTTTTGTTTCAATTTGTAACATAATGACATACAACAAATAAGATGGAAGACCCCCTAATGGTTGTTACAAATTGTCCACCCCACTGCCTCCTATCTCCACTCCTACCCCCTCCCCCCTCCTATCACCTCCTATCTACTCCTCCCTTCTCCCCCTAATTAGAAACAAGGAATTGGACCCAAACATTTCCGCGCTTGCGTTTTGAGCGATTCTAGGATAAAAAATATATGATTTACGTTTTTTAAAAAGTAGAATTTTTAGGCTTACTTGGCGCGTTCTGGGCAGTTCCGGTGCGTTCTGGGCGATTTTAGGATCAAAATATATGATTTACGTATTTCAAAAAATCGAATTTTTAAGCTTATTTGACACGCTTATTAAACACACACCATACATAAAATGAGCTCTCCAATTTAATACAACAAACGGATCATTTGCTTGCCTGTTAATAGCTTCTAGAGACTAGTCTTGTCGATTTCGAATGTTTATAATAAGAAATTATATCACCAAATGTTACCTTTTACCATGAAATGAAAAAATTCTTCAAGAAAACAAAAAAGGTTGGTCCACATTTTGTAGGAGATATCTAGGGGCTCGCACGAGACCCCCCCCCACACACACAGAATTGGTTAGTGGAAGTTGTGCCCTTGATCCGGGTAATTTGCTTCAGAAAATGCACATCTAAGATATACAAAATTCTAGGGGGTTCCGAAAATGGCCAAAATCACTTGAAAAGGGCTCAGACTAGTGAAAACACGGACCCCCTCCCATGCTACAGGTGCCTGGTAGAAAAGAAGCATGGGCTTGATGGACATAACATTGTAATACTCACAGGGAAGGGCATCAAGGAGTATCAAAGGTGACATCTTTTGATTAATACAATCACAGAAAACTACACCTGTTCATTTTTTTTATTCAGTTTGATCAAGGGTTGAGAATAGGAAATACATCGGATTGAATATTTCGCAACATTGAAGACTAATAAACACTTTTTGCCCCCCCCCAATTAGCTTTGAATTGAGTATTTCATTGTAGGTCTACTGTTTAAATGTTTAAAAGTAATCCTTTAGACGGATGGATTGTTTAAATAAAATCAGAAAAATACAAAACAAATTTTATATAAAATGTGTATACTGTACATTTAAATATAAAACGCATTTCATGACAATAGTATTGCTAATTTGATCAGATTAGTAGGACTGTTACTTTTGGAGCACCCTGTATGTTAACATCTACACAATGTGTGTATACTAGTATGTCTTAGTATATTCTATGGCTTTGTTATTGTCTTCTGCCAAACAATTGTCTCAAAACATGCTTTATTTTCCTCAAGATGCCACGATTACCACTGATTTAGATAATGGTTTGAAAATGAATGGCAAGTACTGGCCCGGTCTATTGGTTCAGCTTGTATGAGGTGTGATTCAAAAGTAATTGACAGAATTTTATAGGCATGCTCACTCCCACCTAATTTGTATGAAAGGAGTGGTATCGATATGGAGAACTTTTTGAACACGCGTTTCTCTTAAACCAGACATCAAAACATTCTGAAAATTTTACACATCGTCAAATTAATGGTCATCTTTTGGATGGTAACAATACAATTTGAAATATATCGGGTGTCCCCAAAAAACGTCCCGCTTTTTGAGCTCTTATAACTCTGATAGATATAAACCAATTTCTTTGAAATTTATCAGGGGGTAAGTTAAGAATATTATCTATAAGCTATTAAAATATTAAATTAATCGGATGTACATTTTGTGAGTATCGCCAAATACAAGATAGCATAGCAAGAAATGTAATATCGGAGGACAACTCAATTATTTCACCTTAAAATGTAGATTGATGAGCATCGCCAAATACAAAAGTTAAACAGCATAAGATAAAAAGTTGGTACAGCAAAAGATCAACAACTTACTTATCTAATAACTTGTGCTCAATGTGACCTCCATCTTCCTTCACAACTAAATGGAGTCGTTTCTTCCATACAGAGATACTGCTCTTGATTTCATCCTGTGACGTATCCTGCCATGCTTTCGCTGTTGACTTTGGCTTTGTCAGTATTAATGAAATAAATGTCCGTTTTTCCCTTCCAGGATACTCCTGCAGAAACCATTATCTTTTGAAAAAAAGTGAAGTTTCATGGTAAAGACGTGATGGCTGAATTTGACATTTAGGCTTTCCATACACCCAATCATTTTGACGATTTTTGGGCAATTCAAGAGAAAGGTCCTTCTTATCAGTGAAAATGATCTTCTTGACATCTGCGGCTCAATAACGATCATATAAATTGCGACATCTTGTTTTTCTTTTTCCTTTAACATATAAGTGAGTTGTCGATCTTTTGCTGTACCAACTTTTAATCTTGTGCTGTTTAACTTTTGTATTTGGCGATGCTCATCAATCTACATTATAAGGTGAAATAAGTGAGTTGTCCTCCGATATTACATTTCTTGCTATGCTATCTTGTATTTGGCGATACTCACATAATGTAGATCTGATTAATTTAATATTTTAATAACTTATAGATAATATCCTTGTCTTACTTCCTGAATAATTTCAAATGAATTGGTTTTATCTTGCAGAGTTATAAGAGCTCAAAAAGCGGGACGTTTTTTGGGACACCCGATATATATATACTTTCATCTTTATTGTTTTAGAAAACACATCAAACACTTGTTTTTTTCTTGGCATCATGTTTCAAGAGTGAAATGAAACATCTTTCCGAAACCTCACTGTCAATTTTCCGACCAGTCGTACGTCACACTGGTACATGCCAGTCCTTTGCAATTTTGTGAGACGTTTAAGTATATATTTTGGAGTATGCTCTTGAATGGATTTAATGAATGATGTTCCCGTTCGTGATATATTTTATATCTAATTCGTCTTAAATCTATAATGCAGTTTGTGCTCTGGAGAAAATGTCAATTTTCGGACCAGTCGTACGTAACGCTGGTGGCAGCATGATATTTGTTATTTAGTGAGATGTTTTAGGTTACATTTTTACATTTGCCCTACCGAGGACTTGTTGATTGGTCATTCTATTGGTGAGATATTGAGTATCTAATTTGTCATACAAGTCTGATTTACTTTGGGCTATGTGCGGAATGTCAATTTTCGGACCAGCTGTACATCGCACTGGTAGCAGCGACTAGTTTAATATATTGTGAGACGTTTATGTATATATTTTTACGTTTGCCAAAGGAGGGATGTATCGATTGACTTCTCTGTTAGGGGTATATATAATATCCAATTCGTCTTAAATCGCTTATGCAATTTGCGCTCTTGACGAAATGTCAATTTTCCGACCAGTCGTACATCACACTGGTACATGCCAGTCCTTTGCAATTTTGTGAGACGTTTAAGTATATATTTTGGAGTATGCTCTTGAATGGATTTAATGAATGATGTTCCCGTTCGTGATATATTTTATATCCAATTCGTCTTAAATCTATGATGCAGTTTGTGCTCTGGAGGAAATGTCAATTTTCGGACCAGTCGTACGTAACGCTGGTGGCAGCATGATATTTGTTATTTAGTGAGATGTTTCAGGATTTATTTTTACATTTGCGCTACCGAGGACTTGTTGATTGGTCATTCTATTCGTGAGATATTGAGTATCTAATTTTTCATACAAGTCTGATTTACTTTGGGCTATGTACGGAATGTCAATTTTCGGACCAGCTGTATATCGCACTGGTAGCAGCAACTAGTTTGATATATTGTGAGACGTTTATTTATATATTTTTACGTTTGCCAAAGGAGGGATGTATCGATTGACTTCTCTGCTAGGGGGAAATATAATATCCAATTCGTCTTAAATCGCTTATGCAATTTGCGCTCTTGACGAAATGTCAATTTTCCGACCAGTCGTACGTTACACTGGTACATGCCAGTCCTTTGCAATTTTGTGAGACGTTTAAGTATATATTTTGGAGTATGTTCTTGAATGGATTTAATGAATGATGTTCCTGTTCGTGATATATTTTATATCTAATCCGTCTTAAATCTATGATGCAGTTTGTGCTCTGGAGGAAATGTCAATTTTCGGACCAGTCGTACGTAACGCTGGTGGCAGCATGATATTTGTTATTTAGTGAGATGTTTCAGGATACATTTTTACATTTGCCCTACCGAGGACTTGTTGATTAGTCATTCTATTCGTGAGATATTGAGTATCTAATTTGTCATACAAGTCTGATTTACTTTGGGCTATGTACGGAATGTCAATTTTCGGACCAGCTGTACATCGCACTGGTAGCAGCGACTAGTTTGATATATTGTGAGACGTTTATGTATATATTTTTACGTTTGCCAAAGGAGGGATGTATCGATTGACTTCTCTGTTAGGGGGATATATAATATCCCATTCGTCTTAAATTGCTTATGCAATTTGCGCTCTTGACGATCTGTCAATTTTCCGACCAGTCGTACGTCACACTGGTACATGCCAGTCCTTTGCAATTTTGTGAGACGTTTAAGTATATATTTTGCAGTATGCTCTTGAATGGATTAAAAAATGATGTTCCCGTTCGTGATATATTTTATATCAAATTCGTCTTAAATCTATGATGCAGTTTGTGCTCTGGAGGAAATGTCAATTTTCGGACCAGTCGTACGTAACGCTGGTGGCAGCATGATATTTGTTATTTAGTGAGATGTTTCAGGATACATTTTTACATTGGCCCTACCGAGGACTTGTTGATTGGTCATTCTTTTCGTGAGATATTGAGTATCTAATTTGTCATACAAGTCTGATTTACTTTGGGCTATGTACGGAATGTCAATTTTCGGACCAGCTGTACATCGCACTGGTAGCAGCGACTAGTTTGATATATTGTGAGACGTTTATGTATATATTTTACGTTTGCAAAAGGAGGGATGTATCGATTTACTTCTCTGTTAGGGGGGATATATAATATCCAATTCGTCTTAAATCGCTTATGCAATTTGCGCTCTTGACGAAATGTCAATTTTCCGACCAGTCGTACGTCACACTGGTACATGCCAGTCCTTTGCAATTTTGTGAGACGTTTAAGTATATATTTTGGAGTATGTTCTTGAATGGATTTAATAAATGATGTTCCCGTTCGTGATATATTTTATATCTAATTCGTCTTAAATCTATGATGCAGTTTGTGCTCTGGAGGAAATGTCAATTTTCGGATTTCGGGATTTTGTTTTAATTTTTTCAAAATTTTTTAAAATCAACCATTTGTATAACCATAATATTGAGAGGTCTAAAAACATGTTGTGTATGCTATTTTGTTCCAACAAGGTTCCGAAAGACATTTTATTTCATTCTCAAGAATGTTTCTGTTTTTTACAGAATATTTTATCAATACCTTTCCTTTGGAAACTAGGGAGTGTTTGCCCGATACATAAGAAAAATGGTAAAAATAACCTTAACAATTATAGACCCATCTCTCTCCTTAGCATTGTTTCCCAAATCATTGAAAGAATAGACTATGATAAAATGTACAAGCACCTTATTGAAAACAATCTACTTTACAAATACATGAAATATCAATCCGGATTTTTGAAGGGTCATTGCAACGAATTCCTACTTCGATTCATGATTTCAATTGGTCAAACTTTAGTAACGGTTTTGATACTAGGTCCGTCTTTTTGGACATTTCAACTGCCTTTGATAGGATACCACACCATCTGTTAATACATAAGCTGAAAGCATACGGTTTTTCGGGAAATATTTTGAATTTCATTACCTCATATCTCTCTAATAGTAAAATAAAGGTCACAATAAATGGTAAGTCATCTCAAACATCCCCTGACAACTATATGAATTGCAGTGTCCCTCAAGGAAGTATCCTTGGGCCGTTATTCTTCCTAATCTATATAAATGACCTCCTGATACTTTATCTTCAAAATGCTTTATTCATATACGCTGATGATACATCAATGATTTTGCCAACAAAGCCAAATGACCACCTATCTCACACTCAACTCCAAAACGATATCTAAAAGGTAGAAAATTGGTCTGATATCTGGAAACTTGAATTCAAGCCAGAGAAAAGCAAAGAGTTGATTTTTTCAAAGAACAGTAATGTAAACAATTATCCCCCAATTGTGTTAAATGGTCATGCGATTACTAGAACCGACATTCATAAACACCTTGGCTACTACTTTGACAATAGCGTATGTGGTTTAGCTCTCATTAACTATTTAGTCTCTAAGATTCGGACAGCTCTTATCCAATGAAAGATCTGAAGGGAAGACTGAAGTCCAAACATCCCAATACCATGTATAATGCCTATATCCAGTCACTTTTTGACTACTGCGATATCCTTTACGACGGCGCAAACCAAATTGACTTAAAAAAGATCAGTAGTTTACAGTACCAAGCTGGCCTAATTGTGTCTGGACCTCTCTTAAAGGGAGACTAAAAAATCCAAATGTCCCTTAACATTCTAAATCGCAGGCAAGAGATGTATCTCAACAGAGCCAGAGTCCACCTTATCCTGAAGACCCAGTTGATATCTCATAATTGGAATAATGTTGACTCGCCAAATTGCGAGTGTGGGTCACCCAAGACCTTTAGACACTTATTTGCTGCCCCTTAAAAATAAATAAACTCCATCAATTCAATGAAGCCATTCAGTTAATTGTGAATGAAATAACACTTTATAAGACCCAACAAGACAAAAATGAACTATATCTCTTTGGTGATCCTGAACACACCCATGATAAATTAGACAATCTATTCCCGTTGACATCAATATTTCTTCTTGAAAACTGTTAAGGCTGCATTCATACATAATCGTAATCCGACTAACTTAGACCCCACCTACTCAAGCCCTCAGTGTAATTGGTCGCCCAATCTTTGTTGCAGCAGGTCCCCAAAAGTACCCATCATTTATAACATGCCAGATCCCTCCTGGTGAATACTACTTTGCATCAAAACTACATCATTATTTTTGTTACAAATCAGGTAATAGTGACACCGTACATCTAAAGTATATGACGGTATATTTTGTCACTGAACGTTGTAAATGGTTAGGCGTGATTCAACGTCAGGCGTAGCCTTTCATTATGATGATAAAAACATCGCTGAAAGTTGTGCCCTGAGTCCAGTTATCGTTCTTTTACAAAAATGTACGTGTACCTTTACGATATAATAGTCGACAGACTTCAAGAATCGTGAGTGCACATTTCTTGCCATTTTGTTCTCTGTCAAAGCGACATCTTTTAATGCGGACAATGAATTGCAGATGAAGAATAGAAACTACATTGGATATTTGGCAATATTTTAGGTAACTAAAACACTTTTTGAATATCCAATACTATGAATGTAACTTGTCTAAAACCTTCGTTTATGCTTTATCTTATAATAATGAATAGCAGGGCTTGTGCTTGTGCAGGTAAAATGCATACTACAATGGCAACAGGACAAACCTTGCAAAAACATTTCTGCAAAAAAAATTTGCAATGTGTGAAAATAACCTTAAGCAAATGACTCAATGAATTGTGGGTAATTTAATGTACTCTTAGACTTTGAATTCTGGCTTCTGCTATCATGCAAAGTCGGATACAAATTCAAATGCTTAAAGCCCCCGATAAATCGGGCTACGTATACCGCCGTGTTTACATTAGGGGATTAGAAGAGTTTATTTTTACTTTAGGTATGCAAGCAATATCAATATTTGGCCTTCATGCATGTACTCGTGTGTACAATCAGCATGCCCTTCAATATTATATAAGCCAGGCTATTCAAGTACAACATAATGTACACTATTTATGTGTGTACAACATGGGAATACAATTCCCTGGGAAACAAAACACAAATACTTTTTATATGTTCAAAATGAGCCATTTGATTGATGCATACACTTAATACCTTCATATATAAACATCTACATAGTATATCTAATAGTCATTTTCAATTCCAATGGTGAAACTTGCCTGGTTACGATTATACGGGAAATCAGCACGGGACGATAGTTGTTCACCTTCCTGGCTTACCTCTGAAGCCTGTACCCTGTAATCTCTTTATATAGGTTAGCGAGAGCGCTGCGCCTGCGCAGTTTTAAACTTTGGCGCACACTTTAAAATTGTCATTTCATGTCAAAGTTTATTAGCCAAAAATAAAATAATTGGCTATAAGTAATAACTTTTGATTTCATTTTTATGATGCAAATGTCATCTTTGGTACGGAAGTCACAAAATGGTTTGTATCCGAAATTTACATATTTTTACAATATGATCGCCAGAATACAAAGAATGTAATATTTCTATATAATCATAAAATTGATGTCAATATTTCACCGTTTCGTAATACTATTACTAATAGTATGTTGAATAGCAAACAGTCAATGTACAAGTGTAGTGAGTTTACGACCTCGGTGTGCTCCTGGTATAGTGATCGCCTTTGGTCAGACAATCGCTTTCAGAATATGAAGTAATTCATTCATATATTTAGTAAGTTTATTTTACACTGTTCGTCCTGCAAATACCACAGATCCATGTCTACACTAAATACTAAATGCATCGGACACAACCCCAGAGTCGATAGTTAGTGTATCAGCGTCATCACTTGTGGCCAAGTCCTTCTCTGTCTGGTATTTCTTCCCATAACAACCCGCAGAGCTGAAGTACAGAAAAATTCATTTCATACAACCACCAAGGAGTAATCTCAGGGAAAAACTTTTTTAAATGAGATCATGATTAATGTACTTTCTGCGAGGCTCATGGTGGTATTAAAAGTAGCAATTAAACATCATATCTTACAACCGTGATTACCTAAGTGCCTAATACATACCTGTAGGGATTTGGTTGTTTCTCCTGGTTATTTTCTTTCATTTGTTTCTTATCGCTTACAGCAGACTGAGACCTCCACAAAGACCCACCAATGCTGTAGTACAAAGAAACAAAAAGTCAATATACATGTAAGATCTCAATGTATGAACAATGTATACTGAGTGAAAATTTCAGCCAGATTGACTGAGATGCAAATATTTTAGAGGAATTTTGCAAGAACTTTATGAACACCCTGTAAGAAGGCCATGTTGTCTCTAGCATAACTTTTTTTTGTCAAGCGATTTGGCAATTAATCCTACTTACGCCGCAGCATTAGAGGCTGGGTCTTGCAGAATCTTTTCAAGTCGTTCAAGGTTTGACATTGCAACCTTATATGTTTCCTCAGTATGCTGTATCATATTTTGTCTTAACTGTGTGTTTGTATCCACTGTTTTGATATATCCCTGGAGGTCACTGTGGATAATTTTATTTAGGATATAAAAAATGTATATTGGACAACCAATGTTCATATAAGAGCTTTCATATCTCCCCTGCCCCATTCATGATGAAAATGATAAAGTAATTTCAAATCATAAACTTAAACAAAGTTGTAGCTATTCTCTATCAATACTATGTATGATTTAATGTATTAAACTCCATTTGAGTACATGTGTCTAAAGTTTACGGACAAAATTTGGCATTTTTAGCATTCTGCTTTTAGCAGTATCATTTAATTTTCCACAATTATAATTCTTTGATGATAGATTGATATATGGTTTTTTATTGAATCTGTCTTCTTTGATTTAAGTTTAATAGAAAATGTATGTAAGACAACGAATGTTTTATTGGAGGTCTAAGATCTCCCCTCCACCATTTAATAAGAAAACCAACAAAAAATAGAATTAAGAAATATTATTAAGCTCTTTAAAAAACTGTGCATTGATTTAAATTTTGAAGAGCACTACCGTGATCAAACATATATTGACTTACGTGTGGCACGAACCAGACTTATGAAGAAACAAAAAGAAAAATGGCATCAGGAAATTCTTGAACAACGTAAATTACGTACATATGTTACTTTTAAAACAGACTTTAAACCAGATCAATTCATTTTATGTGACTTGCCAAGAGGCACTAGATCACTGATTTCACAATTTCGGTATGGAATTCTACCTTTGCATATTGAAACTGGTAGATTTGTAAATACCAATGTAAATGAGCGTTTTTGTAACATTTGTAAGTCGGGTGAAATTGAAGATGAAAAGCATTTTATTTTTGATTGTAGTGCATATAGGAAAAAAAGAAATGAGTTCTTTGAAAAATTGGAAATAGAGAGTCTGACTTTAAGTGACATTTTTAAAAGTAAAAGATATACTAAGATGTTTGGTCAGTATTTAATTGACATAATGCAGATCAGGAAAGACTTTATTTTTAAACAATAACTAGTTATTTTAAAATGTTCAAATGTGTCTCATAAGCCCAGATAGGGCTGGTTGTATGATATGATACAAGTGACACTTTAATAAAAATAAATAAATAAATAAATAAATAAATAGTTAATATTCTTAAATATATCAAATAGGCATTATGGACATGCATAAAATGAATGTGGATATGACTCAATCCGAAAAGCAGTTTTAATTTGTGCGGCCAATGTTGACGGACGGACCAACGGACGGACGCCTGGTCGATCCCATAGGCTCACTGTGTGAGCCAATAAGCACTAGTGCCAAAGGGAAAGGACTAAAAGTTGTAATGAAACTAAGCAAGAAAAAGCAAACTCTAAGTGCATACCAGTCAAAAAAACAAACCCCATATAGCCCAAAACCATGATCTAACGTGAAAAGAAACAATTTCTAATACCCCTTTCGACAATCCAAGACCAGAAGACCAATGGACATTTCATTCATACTGAAGTCATTACAATACATGTTGAAGAAAAAACTAGAAATTGATAGCCAATACTGATAACCTCAAAAATAGTTGTAGATACAAGTACTCATACAAGATAGAGCATTCAGTCTCAAATGATGTTGGATAGATAAAATCCAGTCTCCAAGTCCATAAGCGTTTCAAAGGGTCAACATCCATTCTATTTCTCAACCATTAATGCCATAGCCGGGATCCACCTCAAAAGGTGCCAAGTGAAAATATTGTGAGCGCCAATGTCTCAAACAAGATAAGCTTTTCAAAAGTTGCACACAACCATTTATCTTAAATGGACGCACCAATTTTTGTGTGCCGCTGTTGTAAAAGCGTAGTTTCCATATAAAAAATAATAATGATAAGCAAACTAAAATAAAAAATGGCACATAAATGGGCAAAATGACCAATTTTTCACTTTCAGCAATAGTTGTTTATATTTTTAGTTGAATGGTGATTAGTTGATATATTTAAGATCATATATATTCAATTATGTGTCTTGTTATCTTCAAAGCACAGACAATGTGATTTAAACACAAATATACATATTAGAGATAAAATTACTACACTACCATATTAAAAGATTACTCAAAATAGAATCGTACAAAATACTTTTGTTACGATGTGCACTTGTGTTGTTTATTGCCACATGGACAGGTGGACAGGTAGTAGAATTCAACCCTTGACTAGAAACTGTATTTGCAATTTTCTCTGCATACAAACTCACTTAACATTGAATTCCTTTGTCTTGGCTGCGGCACTGTAGTAGACATGGGCCATAGGGAGAGTGTCAACTTCTTCATGAACAGTATTTGATAGATTGTCTATAAGTTGCAACTGTCAGTTTTGCAAACTTCAATAGCAGCTCTGCCATAAGTGAAATTCACCCCATTTTAGAGATACAGTAACATTGCTTCACAAACCAAAGACAAACAGCTTACCATTTGTAATCCTTTCCAAAATCATCTTGTTGGCTGTTCTTCATTTCACAATGTTTGCATTTACCAAAATATCCCCAAGCCCAATATCCTTCATGAACTTCCTACGGTAATTAGACCACCCTTAGGTGTAATATGTAAATCACCAAGCCTTTGACAACATTGCAATTGATACGAGGGAATTCAACCAATATGGCTTGATCACTGGTTATAATTATCACACTACTATACCCCATTACTTTAAAATATATTCCAAGTGTTGTACTACATTGTATAGATTTATGAGCAGTTTGCAACGTATTATTACCAGAAAAGCCCAATGGACAAAGATAGAGAATACTCGCCCCATTTGCAACTCAACTATAATGTCTAATTTTTAGACTTTTATACTTATGAAGTTCCTGAAACATCTGAAAATATCAAGTATTGATCTAGAATAGCTACAACTTTGTTAAAGTCTATACTTTGAAATTGTTTGGTTTTCATATTTATGGTTATTTTTTCCAAAATAAATGGGGTAGGGGAGATATGTAAGCCCTAATATAACGACAGGCTGTCAAATATATATATATATATATATATATTTAAATACCTTAAATCAAAGTAGGCAGGTAAAAGAACAGATTTGATCAAGAATCCATCAACCAATCAGCATAAAACTCAAGATACTTAAGTATAAGGAATTATATGTTATTGCTGAAAGCGAAAATGATGAAAAATTCCAAACTTTGTCCTCAAATGTCTAATTTCTAGACACTAGTATACCAATGAAGCTCATGAAACATTAATTATAACATTCAATAACATTCAATATACATTAGTATATTGCTATTGAACAGCTACAACTTCATTAAAGTTTATAATTTCAAGTTATTTTTTCACATTTTACGGTTATTTTCCATAATAAATGGGGTAGAGGAGATCTGAAAGCTCTAATGTGAACATTGTTTGTCCACTATACATTTTCTATACCTTAAATGGAAGAAGACATGTACAAGAACAGATTTGATTGAAAATGCAACAACCAGACAGCATAAAACTCAAGATATGAGGAACTATATATTACTGCTGAAAGGGAAAATGATAAAAAAAGCCAAGTTTTGTCCTTAAATGTCTCATTTTTAGCGACTTATATACCGATTAAGGTATACTGCTGAAATATCGTAAAAACATTAAATAAAACATAATATTGATATAGAACAGCTACAACTTTATTAAAGTTTATAATTTCAAGTCATTTTATTTTTTCATATTTTTCGGTAATTTTCCATAACAAATGGGGTAGGGGAGATCTGAAAGCTCTCATACGAACATTGGTTGTCCACTATACATTTTCAATACCCTAAATGGAAGAATACATGTACAAGCACAGATGTAATCAAAAATGCAACAACCAGTCAGCATTAAACTCAAGATATGAGGAACTATATGTTATTGCTGAAAGCGAAAATGAGCTTAAAATGCCAAATTTTGTCCTTAAATGTCTCATTTTTAGCTTCTTATATTCCGATAAAGGTTCTGAAATATCTTTGATATAGAATAGCTACAACTTTGTTAAAGTTTATAATTTCAAGTCATTTTATTACATCATATTTTTCGGTAATTTTCAATAACAAATAGGGTAGGGGAGATCTGAAAGCTCTCAAACGAACATTGGTTGCCCACTATACATTTTCAATACCTTAAATGGAAGAATACATGTACAAGCACAGATGTAATCAAAAATGCAACAACCAGTCAGCATTAAACTCAAGATATAAGGAACTATATGTTATTGCTGAAAGCGAAAATGAGCTTAAAATGCCAAATTTTGTCCTTAAATGTCACATTTCTAGACCCAAGTATACTAATGAAGGTCCTGAAACATCTGAGAAACCTTACATAACACAAAATATTGATATAGAATAGCTACAACTTTGTTTGAGTTGAAAATTTTGACTTTTTGAAGTTTCCATTGTAGCTAATTTTTTTCTCTAAAAAATCAAGGTATGTCTTCTTCGGACCAGTATTTTGATATGTTCACAAGAGTTATATGCTTCGCAGGCGAAATCCCTTATGCAGGACACCCTATTAGAATAAAAAATACACAGCAATTCCATCCAGCTCTCCAAGTCATTTTTTCTTAGAAAATTATCCACCCCGAGTATTGACCCTAAAGCTGACAGAAGGTCAAATCTGTTTTTTTCCATAATAACTTTTTGCAAGAAACAATACCATACCATTTAATAGCCATAGATAAAAGACATATTCATTATTTAGTACAAAAATAAGTAAATGGAGGAAGTCGGGAGTTATTTACAGGGGGGCGATTTGATATGAGGAATGTCGCAAGGATATTTCATCAGAGGTCAAGAGTAACATATACCACAAAAATCACCTGATGGATGTAAAAACAATAAACAATTTTGGAAATATTGAGAATACATGCATAACATGTATATAACTGTTGAAACATGAAAAATGATGACTAAAAATAACACTGGAAGTCCTTTCATAAATCAATTGGTAACTGTTATCACTGTTCCTTTCCCTTTGAGAGTACTTTACTCAACAATGGATTGGATTTAATTTCCTTGGGAATATATACCCGGGATGATAGTATTATGGAATTAA